CGGTGGGCCCGAGGGGGGCCGGGCCTGGGGGAACCCGACAGGAGGCGCCAAGGGCCCGTCGACCGTGCGGGTGGATCGCCAGCGGCCCGCGGCCGCCGAAGGCCCCGGCGGGCTGCCCTCCGACCCCGAGTCCTCAGATGAGTTCAGCGAGATACAGCTGATGAGGGTGAGCATTTACTCCAAAGAAGGCGGCCCAGCCAAGCCCAACAGCCCCGAGGATCCCGGGGACACAGCCAGACACGCGAATTTCCACGTCAGGGAGAATTTCCTTCCCGTGCCGGGCCCTTTCCTGACCTCCGCTGCCCGAGGGTTCACTTCGGTAGTGGAGAGGCCGGCCGTCGGAGAGCTGGACATCTCCTCCTCTAAGAAAATGCCAAGTGTGGTCTGGGGGAAGGGGGAGAGCAGGCCCAGCTACCGGGGAGCTGCTGCTGTTGCTGCTGCTGCAGGCGGCCTGCCCCAGGCCCCCTCGAGGAGGAAGGCGGCCCAGGAGAAGAAATGCCCAGGGGGGGCCTCAAAAGTGGCCCTGGGCAAAAGCTTCCCTTCCTGGGGGCAGAGAGTGTCGGCTGCTCCCCTGGAACCAGCCACCTTCCCCCCAATCTCCGGTGTCCCGCTGCTTGGGAGGTCCAAGAGGTATTCCTTGGTCCCTTCGGGACCCAAACAGTCCAAGCACGCGGGCGCCGCCGGCAAGAAATCTGTGGCCAGGAGGACGCGGGGGGCCGAGGTGGCGGCCGCTGCGGGAGAAGGCAGTGACTCGAACAGAGACGCGGTCCTCCCAAAGGGCCAAGTGAGTAGGCCATGCTCCTCCTCTCTGGGTGCCCTTCCCCTCCCCCTCTGCCCACTTCTTTACCCATGCTCCCTCTGTCCCTACTTCAGGGGCTGCCGTGGGTGCCCCTGGGTCACTGGGACCACGGGCACGCCAGATCGCGTCGTGGGTCGTCTTCGCAGGGGCAGACATTAACCTAGGGTAGCAGTGCGTGTGTGCCCGCCACCATTCCGGACCCTTGGCCCGTTTCCTGCCTCCTTCCCCCAGGGAGGGGCCGCGATGAAGGGAGGGCTGGTAGCTGATTTCCAGGCTTGGTCCACGAACCTTCAGTCTTCAGACGCCTGGGCTTTGTCAGTGCCCTGCTCTGCTCCCTGGCTCAGCTCTGCCTCCTGGCCCGGGGCTGACTGAGGGAGGAAGCGCCAGCCAGACCAGCCTCTGAGTTCCCCTCCCTATTCCCTGCCTCACCCCAGCTGCTACACGCACGTGCACACGTGTGCACGCCTACCCACACTCACACGCGCGCGCGCACTCACACACGCGCGCGCACACCACATCCCACATCCCAAGTCCAGGTCGGTGAGAAATTTTTCTTTTAGCTTCCAACACGGAGGCCAGGCCCATCTTCGTGCATGCATCGCAGGGTGTGCAGCAGCGGCGACCTCCACACCAGAGCCCCCCGAGTTCCAGGAAGCTCGGAGCCCTTGGCCCTGAGCCAGGGAGATGTCCTGCACAGAGGGCCTGCCCTCGCCGGTGAGTCTTGTGGGTGTCACAGGAGCGCGGGGGGGGGGGGGGGGGGATGAGGAGGGAACCCTCTGGCTCCGGCTCTGCTGGGGGCCCAGCTTTGTTCCCCGCGTCCCTCCCTCCCAGGGCAGCTTCTCCCACGGGAAATGGGGTCTCGACGGACCGGCCTTAAGCCACATCCTCCCCCGCGTGGGGTTTGTGCAGCAGGGGTTCTGCGTGGCAGCGCCCCAAACTGCAGCCCCGGACGTAGACCTTCCGCAGAGCAGAGCCTCAGATTCTGTTCCGTCCTGCTTGGCCACGTTGCTCGTCCCGGGCGCTGGCCGTGCTGCCGCTCTGGGAGAGTCCAAGCCAGAGCCCCAGTCCCGGGGCGGGGGGGAACCCACCTTCAAGGATGGGCTGCCCCTGGGGGGCAGGGGGGACGGGCCCGAGGGAAGGTTGCAGCTGCTGCCAGAGCAGGGGCCACTTGCGGCCAGCAGAGGGTGGTGCCGCCTCACGTTCCACCCCGCGGAGGCCCTTTGCAGCTCCCTGGGGGCCTGGGAAGCTGGGTCGGACGTCCTGTCCCTCGCAGGTGACCAGGAGCCGCCGGGCCAGCCCGCAAGGCCCGGAAGGCAGCAGGAACCACCGGCTGGCGCACAGGGCTGTCTGCGGGTAACGCTCCCCGGGGCTCCTAGGAATGCGGGCCCGAACCGGAGGGTGGGATCCAGGTCCGGGCTACACTGACATAGGTGTTCCCCCCTCCCGTCGGCTCCCTGCACAGGGAAGGCGCCCCCTTTCCACTGAGGAGCCTGTGCGGGTCTAGCCACTGGGCCTGGGGCCGTAGTGCCCGTGGGAGAGGGGGAGGTCGAGGAGAGGAAGCCAGAGGGTACTAATGGTTTGTGTCTCTCCCTCTCTGCTGTCTGCGGGCCTAGTGTCTGGTGCTACAGAGGGAAATAGACGACCTTAAAGAGCAGCTTGGTATGAGGAACCTCGGTCCGGGCCGGGTTGGGGCAGAGGCAGGCTGGGGGGCTGGGGGGTCCTTGGTGCGGGACCCAGGATGGGCTGCAGGTGCAGGCGGCCTCCCAGGGACCAGCATTCCTGTGGGGACAGGACCTGGCAGGCCTGGCCCGGAGCCTGCTGTGCGTGTGCAGCTGGGTGTGTGCACGAACGGGGAAGCCCTGCCTCGACTGCGTGCGCGCTCTGCCGGCGCCAACAGGTCCCAGAGGTCTCCCTCTTTTAGGACCTTTGCAGATGCCTCCTTCATTTTCCCGTTAAGTGCTCCTTGATACGGCTTGCAAGGCGTGCGTGCGTGCGCGCGTGTATGTGTGCGTGTGTGCGCAAGCATGTGCGTGTGTGCATGTGCGCATGTGTGCATGTTTCTGGACGTGTGCATGTGTGCACGCGCACTGTGTGCGCACGCTGTTGCGTGTGTGCGCACGCTGTTGCGTGTGTGCGTGCATGCATATGCATGTGTGTACTGTGCGCGTTTACACAAGCGTGTGTGTACGTGTGCGTTTGTGCGTGTGTGTGTGTCTGTTCCATAGGCTGAACGAGTCCGATGTGCCCCAAAGCTGGAAAGTGCTGGCTGCAGTTTGTTCCCTTAGAGGACGTGTCCATAGGGAATTGAGGTGGTGGGTGAGGGAGTCAGGCCCGGGGCTGGAGGGGGTCTCGGGGCGCAGGGCTCGGCGGTTCCCCGCGGGGTCGGGGCCCGGGCTTCTCTCGCCCCGTGTCTGGAGGGCGTGCTGACGCCTGTCTCTGTTGCAGCGGCCATGCAGTCCCTGACTGACAAGGGCCAGAGCCTGTGAAGGGAGCGTGACACACCCCGCTGCCCTTTGCATGGCCGTGGCTGGCGGCAGGGCCGGGGGCTGGCCCTGGCTCGGGCTCTTCTCGGACCCTGCGCTGTCGGGCCGGCTGCGCCCAGCATCTCTGTCCCAGAGGGGCAGCTGGTGCCTTCGGAGCCGGGGAGCTGCGGCCAAGCCGGTTCCCTCCTGCCCGCCCTCAGCCAAGGCTTCCTCTCCCTGTTCTTCTGCCCCCCTCCCCGCCCCAGTTCACAGCAGTTTCAAATTAAAGTACCTCTCAGGTCTGTGGTCTGCCCTCTCTGTGGGGTGTGGGGGGGGTGCCGGGCCGGGGATGGGAGAGGGGCGGGGCGGGGCAGGGAGCTGCTCCCTGTCACAGCCTTTTCCAGAACAGGACCTCCGGGGTCATGTGGTAGGCCTTGCCCTTGCGGGGAGTGTGGGCCGGCCTGTGCTAGGAGCCCTGCCATCCCGCCCGCAGCGTGCCCCCCACCCCACTCTGGGATCAGTGTGAGCATGTGCTCCCTTTCCCCCCGCGGGCCGCCTTTGGTTTCTCCCCTCATCTCCCCCTCTTTTTGGGTCCCGGACTCCCCGTCCATCTCCGTTCTCCCCCCTGCCCCCTCGCCTTGCAGCAGGAACCCGGGGCCCCTTCCAGAACTGCAGTCCCCCTTCCCTTCCCTCCTTGGGATCGCTGTCCTGCTCTTCCCGCCCCCCCCCCCCCCCGCTCTGCCATCTGAGCGTCCCTGATCACTCCCGGGGCTTGCCCTCGCTGGCCTTCCCTGCCCCTGTGCTTCAACCCGGGGTAAAGAGCACACTTGAGCTCCTCTTGCCCCTTCCTTCCTGGGCCCAGTCCCCTCGGCGGAGTCCTTCCCTCCCTCTGCTGCCACCGCGCACAAGGACCCCTGGCCCGGAAACTGGCGCGTCCTCCCCCTCTCCTCTTTAGCCCTGGGCCTTGACACTGGGATTCCAGGGCCTCACTTCTCCCTCCTTGGGTTCGGTGGCGGTGGCGGGGTGGAGGCAGAAGTCACAGAAGTCACAGCCCAGTGGGGTGCAGAGCCAGAGGGGAGGTACGGGGAACAGGGCAAAAGCACAGGTCGGTCTCTGGGCTGGAGGTGGGGGCGTCGAGGCTTGTGGGGGCTCTGGGCCACCCTGGGGCAAACTGCCCACCAGCGGCCGGAAACGGATGGTCTAGCCATCAGAGTCCTCCTATCCCTCGTGTGCAAGCCACCTCCCCCCCACCCCCCGCCTCCTGCCTGCTCGTCTCCGGACCCTTGGTCGGAAAGTGGCCGCCCGCTTCCATGGCAAGGGTGCCTGATGTGTCTCGATGTGCCTGCCTGGTCCCCTTCCAATGCTGTTCGACCACCACCATGACCCAGGTTTTTCCGGAAGCGCTATTTCCGTGTCCCCGCTCCGGCTCCCTGACTGTCCCTTCAGGCCACGGGAGATTTCGTCTGACTCCGTGTTCCATTTCCCCCTCGCTGACGGGTGGGGATGGCTTCCTTCCTTCAGCCGGGACCCAGGGCTGTGCTGGCCTGAGACTCAGAGGGACAGATCTGGGTCTGAGGGAGGTGAGGGTCGCTTCTGCCAGACCAGACACCCTTCCCGAGAGACCGGGTGTTTCACGCACAGAAGCCTGGGTGGGGGGAGGGTCGATGGTCCCCAGAACGGTCAAGGTTGGTGTGTGCGTTTGTTCACCTGTGGGTGTGAGTGTGTGTGAATAAAATTAATCAGGGATAATGTCCCTGGGGGGAGAGCGGTGTGAGTCAGGGAGTAAAGGGGGGAGACTGTGGTCAAGAACCGGTAAGATACTGAATGAGCAGAAGCAAGGGGCGGATCTATCTTTCAGGGGGTGCTGTTACATTCCCTCATCAGGAGGGGACTGTCGTGGAAGTCCCCAGACCCCGGACAGGGTGCGGGGATGCTCAATTGGGAGCCCGCAGAGGAGGCTGTGGATCCGACTCTGTGATACTCTGAGCTCTGAGCCCTCCCGTGTGTGTTGAAGGAAGGACAGTGGCAGGGAAGGCTGCCTCAGAGGGGCTGGCGCAGGCCTCATCTTAGCAGCAGGGAGCTCGTTCAGGAGACTGCTCTGCCAGGAGCTAACGGGGACAGGGGCAGGATGGGCGCAGTGAGGATGGGAAGTAGAGAGTGGCTTCCCCATGGAAAATTGGGCCGACCTGGTTCCCCACACACCCCCCCCTTCTCAGCCTGCCTTCCTCGGGGCCCTGTGCCATGAACTCAGGTGGCCAGACCATCCCGCACGGGGTGGGACAAGCACAGAGCTCAGCCTGGAAAAGGACATTCGTGGGACTCAATCTTCCCCTCCAAACCCCTCACTTGAGAAGGTGGGCTTGGATGCTGAGGCTCCAGCCTTCACCTGGACCCTGTGGTTCTCTCTTGGCGGGGTATCATGTTGCGCTGTGGTCTGACTGAATGTGTTTGGGAGAGACCTTCAGCCGGGGTGTCCGCGGGCAGACAGGCGGGCAGGTTGTGACTGGGGAGAAGTCCAGCACCCACACCCCCCAGGGACCACAGAGCCATGGTGGCCAGCGTGAGGAAGGAGAGAAGGGGACTGGGGAGGACATGATCACAATCATGGCTGAGCAGTTTTGCTGGCCTCCCTTCCCTCCTCTGAGCACGCGATCCCGGTCGCATATTCAGACCAAGCAGCCCCAGGTCATGTAAACGCATATATCGCGGGCTGTGGCTGGGCACCTTTCCGTCCCAGGAGGAAGTGAGTGGAGACGGTGAGGCGCAGATTAAGGGAGGACATGTGGGTCCCAGGGGGAAGGAGGAGGTGGGTCCCCTGCCCTCCTGTAGTGTGCCCCTTTTGCCTTCCCCCTCACGCCTCCTCTTAGCCAGGGAGGCAGTGGCGGCGGGCCTGGGGAGCCCTAGGCCCCATCCTGCCTCGTTCTGCTGCCTGCCCAGCTCCGGGCCAGATGCCTCCCTCTCTACCACCTCCAGCTCCAGCACCAGCGCCACGCCCACCAGCGGCCAGCCTTTCTCAGATGCTTGGGGGGAATGGGCACACCCAAGGTGGGCAGGAGGAGGTGAGCCCTGGACACGGAGCTGGGCGTGGTGGGCAGAGGAATGGTCCCCAGAGGTGTCCATGTCCTAGTTCCTGGAATCCGCTCGTATGTTACCTTGCATGGCGGCGATGGGGTGAAGGTTGCAGATGTAATTCCGCTTGCTACTCAGCTGACCTTAAGGTGGGGCGACTGTCGCCGATGTTTGCTGGGTTTGGCTGGCCGGCACGTTGGGGGTGTCAGGTGGCCATGTGAGCTGTCACGTGCGTGATCCCGGGCGCACCCTTCACATGATTGGACGGTGCTCGGTGGAAATGTGCTCCTGCCAGGTTGTAGTCCTGGTAACTACCTGCCAGGTAGGTAACTACCTACCAGATTTAGAGAAACTTGAGGAGAGGGGGAGGATGCGCCAGTTTCCGGGCCAGGGGTCCTTGTGCGCGGTGGCAGCAGAGGGAGGGAAGGACTCCGCCGAGGGGACTGGGCCCAGGAAGGAAGGGGCAAGAGGAGCTCAAGTGTGCTCTTTACCCCGGGTTGAAGCATAGGGGCAGGGAAGGCCAGCGAGGGCAAGCCCCGGGAGTGATCAGGGACGCTCAGATGGCAGAGCGGGGCGGGGGGGGGGGGGGTGCCGGCAAGAGCAGGACAGCGATCCCAAGGAGGGAAGGGAAGGGCGACTGCAGTTCTGGAAGGGGCCCCGGGTTCCTGCTGCAAGGCGAGGGGGCAGGGGGGAGAACGGAGATGGACGGGGAGTCCGGGACCCAAAAAGAGGGGGAGATGAGGGGAGAAACCAAAGGCGGCCCGCGGGGGGAAAGGGAGCACATGCTCACACTGATCCCAGAGTGGGGTGGGGGGCACGCTGCGGGCGGGATGGCAGGGCTCCTAGCACAGGCCGGCCCACACTCCCCGCAAGGGCAAGGCCTACCACATGACCCCGGAGGTCCTGTTCTGGAAAAGGCTGTGACAGGGAGCAGCTCCCTGCCCCGCCCCGCCCCTCTCCCATCCCCGGCCCGGCACCCCCCCCACACCCCACAGAGAGGGCAGACCACAGACCTGAGAGGTACTTTAATTTGAAACTGCTGTGAACTGGGGCGGGGAGGGGGGCAGAAGAACAGGGAGAGGAAGCCTTGGCTGAGGGCGGGCAGGAGGGAACCGGCTTGGCCGCAGCTCCCCGGCTCCGAAGGCACCAGCTGCCCCTCTGGGACAGAGATGCTGGGCGCAGCCGGCCCGACAGCGCAGGGTCCGGGAAGAGCCCGAGCCAGGGCCAGCCCCCGGCCCTGCCGCCAGCCACGGCCATGCAAAGGGCAGCGGGGTGTGTCACGCTCCCTTCACAGGCTCTGGCCCTTGTCAGTCAGGGACTGCATGGCCGCTGCAACAGAGACAGGCGTCAGCACGCCCTCCAGACACGGGGCGAGAGAAGCCCGGGCCCCGACCCCGCGGGGAACCGCCGAGCCCTGCGCCCCGAGACCCCCTCCAGCCCCGGGCCTGACTCCCTCACCCACCACCTCAATTCCCTATGGACACGTCCTCTAAGGGAACAAACTGCGGCCAGCACTTCTCCAGCTTTGGGGCACATCGGACTCGTTCAGCCTATGGAACAGACACACACACACGCACAAACGCACACGTACACACACGCTTGTGTAAACGCACACACACGCGCACACGCACACACACGCATATGCATGCACGCACACACACGCAACAGCGTGCGCACACAGTGCGCGTGCACACATGCACACGTTCAGAAACATGCACACATGCGCACATGCACACACGCACATGCTTGCGCACACACGCACACATACACGCGCGCACGCACGCACGCCTTGCAAGCCGTATCAAGGAGCACTTAACGGGAAAATGAAGGAGGCATCTGCAAAGGTCCTAAAAGAGGGAGACCTCTGGGACCTGTTGGCGCCGGCAGAGCGCGCACGCAGTCGAGGCAGGGCTTCCCCGTTCGTGCACACACCCAGCTGCACACGCACAGCAGGCTCCGGGCCAGGCCTGCCAGGTCCTGTCCCCACAGGAATGCTGGTCCCTGGGAGGCCGCCTGCACCTGCAGCCCATCCTGGGTCCCGCACCAAGGACCCCCCAGCCCCCCAGCCTGCCTCTGCCCCAACCCGGCCCGGACCGAGGTTCCTCATACCAAGCTGCTCTTTAAGGTCGTCTATTTCCCTCTGTAGCACCAGACACTAGGCCCGCAGACAGCAGAGAGGGAGAGACACAAACCATTAGTACCCTCTGGCTTCCTCTCCTCGACCTCCCCCTCTCCCACGGGCACTACGGCCCCAGGCCCAGTGGCTAGACCCGCACAGGCTCCTCAGTGGAAAGGGGGCGCCTTCCCTGTGCAGGGAGCCGACGGGAGGGGGGAACACCTATGTCAGTGTAGCCCGGACCTGGATCCCACCCTCCGGTTCGGGCCCGCATTCCTAGGAGCCCCGGGGAGCGTTACCCGCAGACAGCCCTGTGCGCCAGCCGGTGGTTCCTGCTGCCTTCCGGGCCTTGCGGGCTGGCCCGGCGGCTCCTGGTCACCTGCGAGGGACAGGACGTCCGACCCAGCTTCCCAGGCCCCCAGGGAGCTGCAAAGGGCCTCCGCGGGGTGGAACGTGAGGCGGCACCACCCTCTGCTGGCCGCAAGTGGCCCCTGCTCTGGCAGCAGCTGCAACCTTCCCTCGGGCCCGTCCCCCCTGCCCCCCAGGGGCAGCCCATCCTTGAAGGTGGGTTCCCCCCCGCCCCGGGACTGGGGCTCTGGCTTGGACTCTCCCAGAGCGGCAGCACGGCCAGCGCCCGGGACGAGCAACGTGGCCAAGCAGGACGGAACAGAATCTGAGGCTCTGCTCTGCGGAAGGTCTACGTCCGGGGCTGCAGTTTGGGGCGCTGCCACGCAGAACCCCTGCTGCACAAACCCCACGCGGGGGAGGATGTGGCTTAAGGCCGGTCCGTCGAGACCCCATTTCCCGTGGGAGAAGCTGCCCTGGGAGGGAGGGACGCGGGGAACAAAGCTGGGCCCCCAGCAGAGCCGGAGCCAGAGGGTTCCCTCCTCATCCCCCCCCCCCCCCCCCGCGCTCCTGTGACACCCACAAGACTCACCGGCGAGGGCAGGCCCTCTGTGCAGGACATCTCCCTGGCTCAGGGCCAAGGGCTCCGAGCTTCCTGGAACTCGGGGGGCTCTGGTGTGGAGGTCGCCGCTGCTGCACACCCTGCGATGCATGCACGAAGATGGGCCTGGCCTCCGTGTTGGAAGCTAAAAGAAAAATTTCTCACCGACCTGGACTTGGGATGTGGGATGTGGTGTGCGCGCGCGTGTGTGAGTGCGCGCGCGCGTGTGAGTGTGGGTAGGCGTGCACACGTGTGCACGTGCGTGTAGCAGCTGGGGTGAGGCAGGGAATAGGGAGGGGAACTCAGAGGCTGGTCTGGCTGGCGGTTCCTCCCTCAGTCAGCCCCGGGCCAGGAGGCAGAGCTGAGCCAGGGAGCAGAGCAGGGCACTGACAAAGCCCAGGCGTCTGAAGACTGAAGGTTCGTGGACCAAGCCTGGAAATCAGCTACCAGCCCTCCCTTCATCGCGGCCCCTCCCTGGGGGAAGGAGGCAGGAAACGGGCCAAGGGTCCGGAATGGTGGCGGGCACACACGCACTGCTACCCTAGGTTAATGTCTGCCCCTGCGAAGACGACCCACGACGCGATCTGGCGTGCCCGTGGTCCCAGTGACCCAGGGGCACCCACGGCAGCCCCTGAAGTAGGGACAGAGGGAGCATGGGTAAAGAAGTGGGCAGAGGGGGAGGGGAAGGGCACCCAGAGAGGAGGAGCATGGCCTACTCACTTGGCCCTTTGGGAGGACCGCGTCTCTGTTCGAGTCACTGCCTTCTCCCGCAGCGGCCGCCACCTCGGCCCCCCGCGTCCTCCTGGCCACAGATTTCTTGCCGGCGGCGCCCGCGTGCTTGGACTGTTTGGGTCCCGAAGGGACCAAGGAATACCTCTTGGACCTCCCAAGCAGCGGGACACCGGAGATTGGGGGGAAGGTGGCTGGTTCCAGGGGAGCAGCCGACACTCTCTGCCCCCAGGAAGGGAAGCTTTTGCCCAGGGCCACTTTTGAGGCCCCCCCTGGGCATTTCTTCTCCTGGGCCGCCTTCCTCCTCGAGGGGGCCTGGGGCAGGCCGCCTGCAGCAGCAGCAACAGCAGCAGCTCCCCGGTAGCTGGGCCTGCTCTCCCCCTTCCCCCAGACCACACTTGGCATTTTCTTAGAGGAGGAGATGTCCAGCTCTCCGACGGCCGGCCTCTCCACTACCGAAGTGAACCCTCGGGCAGCGGAGGTCAGGAAAGGGCCCGGCACGGGAAGGAAATTCTCCCTGACGTGGAAATTCGCGTGTCTGGCTGTGTCCCCGGGATCCTCGGGGCTGTTGGGCTTGGCTGGGCCGCCTTCTTTGGAGTAAATGCTCACCCTCATCAGCTGTATCTCGCTGAACTCATCTGAGGACTCGGGGTCGGAGGGCAGCCCGCCGGGGCCTTCGGCGGCCGCGGGCCGCTGGCGATCCACCCGCACGGTCGACGGGCCCTTGGCGCCTCCTGTCGGGTTCCCCCAGGCCCGGCCCCCCTCGGGCCCACCGACGTGCAGCCGGGCGGCGGAAGGCGGCCGCGACTCCACGCGGCCCAGGGCGAGCGCGCCTCGCCCACTGGGCCCTGCCTCGACGCCGGCCCAACCGCCCGACGCCTCCGCGCCGCAGCTCTCCGGGGACGGGTTTCTCCGCAGGCCCAGGGCCTCGCGGTCTGTCAGCTGCTGCGCCCTGGCCGCCGCGGACTCGTCGGCGAGGTGGCACGCGTAGTCCGGGGCGTCCCCCTCGTCGGCGGCCGGGGAGCCGGGGCGGCCTTCGCGGCCCCACAGCACCCGCCCTCCCGCTTCCATCACTTCCCGCTCGGACTCGAAGCCCTCGGCGTCTGGGAACCCGCCCTCGCCCTCGCCCTCGCCCTCGCCCTCGCCCTCGCCGCTGGGCGGCGGCCCCAGATCCAGACCTCGTGCCGGGGCCCGCGGGGCCCGGGGGCCGGCGGGGAGGACGCTGGCCTGCCCCCCGCCCTCCGGGCCCAAACCCGCTCCCCAGACAGACCCCTCCTCCTGAGCGCTCATGCCGGCCACGCCGCGCAGCCCGGGCTCGAGGGAGACGATCGCCCTGGTCCCGGCGCGACAGGCCAGAGCGGAGAGGCGCCAGGCGATTGGCGCGCGACGTGCGACGGGAGCCGCGAGGCCTCCTGGCGACGCAGGCGGGCGCCACAGGCACCGCACGCGATCGCCTCAAACAACGCGCGCGGCTCTGTGCGCGCTTCTGACGCCTGCGCCGCGGCCTCCTCATTGGTCCGCCCCCCGCCAACCAGTGAGCCCCTTGTTGGCCCGCCCCTCGAGGCCCCAACCAATGGGGTCGAGGTCCTTTGGTTCGCCCTGGAGCCGGTCGCGGGCTGGGTGTCCGCGAGTCCGGGCGTTGGTCCGGCTGTCCGGGTCCCGCCGCCCCTGGGCCGGAACCTGCTCTCCACTTGGAGTCACGGCTCTGAGCCTCCGTCTTCCCCATCCGCCGAGCCCGGTGTGCCGGCACCTGTCTCCGGGGTCGTGGGGACGACAGGTCGGGATGGAGGTGAGGCACCTAGCGCACAGAGGCTTCGCCGGCTTCTGTTCCACCGCGGCACTTAGCACCCGATGGGCAAGGGGGCACGGGAAGCCCGCAGTCAGCCATCGGGGGACGGGTGGCATACTTGCCCCGCGAAGGGTCCGAGAGCAAACGTTGTCATACTTACGTGCCTTTGGGTCTGTCACAACCCCTCGACCGCGTTGGGCGATCAGATTGGTCCGTGGCTCTGTGCCCAGGGAACTTTATTGGCAGGCGGGTTTGGCGCACGGGCTGGGCTTTGCCCCCCTCCTCCCGGCCCCTCCTCCTCTCCGAGGCAATTCAAAAAGGAGGGAATCCCAGTGGCCAGTGCACACACCAAAAGTCGCGCACCATCACGAATCCCGGAGGTGCGAACTAAAACCTCAAATCGGTGTTCACACACCAGACTTTCGACGATCAAAGACCTGAACCATTCCAAGGGCGGGAGCGGCTGTGAGCAAACCGGTGCTTTTGCCCACTGCTGGGGCTGGGGGTGGGGGTGGGGGCGGCGCAGAACAGCCCTTTGGGAGGGTATTTAGCAGAATCAATGCAAAGCAACTTACACAAGAGGTACTACATGCCTGGCCTTCATGTAAGCGCTGTAGTTGACTAGTCACGCATCCACAAGACACTCCTAGAGTCGGGGTACCCACTATTCCCGCCCTCTTCCAGGGGAGGAAACGGGCACTGAGAGGTTCAGCCCCACGCCCAAGGTCATTAGGATTGCTGGGATCCCTGGCAGGATCAAAGGCACGCAGTGTGGCTCCCGAGTCGTCGCTTTGAGCGGAAAACCTTAAAGCAGAGAAGACGCACATTCCTTCTGCTACCCAGCAAATCTGCTGCCGGCTACTTCTCCTGGAGACTCGCTCGTTCATGTAACGGATAAGGAAGGACACGTGCACTAGGACGTTGGTGATGAGAAAAACTGGGAACGCTCTAAATTCCCATCAGTGAGGAAATGAACACAAGCAACGGGAAGTGTGTGCATCCCGAAGACTTGAAAGGCGGCAGGCAAAAGGAACGCGAGAGGCCACGTTCACAGATTTCAAAGCACCCTCGTGACTGAATAGAGCAATTTGGAGGTCAGTGGAGCTGGACACACATTTGTAAATAATGAAATGAAATGAAGATAAAACAAGAGCCACTCCTATATCGAGACTACGTAGAGGTGTACGTACAAGTATGTCGAAAGGTCTGGAGCAAGGCACAACTAAGTAGGCCTAATGGTGGTGGGGACCGTGGGGGTGGGGCGCCAGTTGTCTCTCAGATTTTCCTGAAACTACCCGTCCCCAGCTTCTCTGAGTTGAGCAGTCCTGATATCTGGGCAGTGGTCCCTCCCTCCCTTGGCTTCTGGGAGGTCCTGGCGTGTTAGAATTTCCCTTGCTTGCCACCCAGCTCCTACTCGAAGGGCCCTCCGTTCCTTCCATACTTTTCCGTCCTCTCTTTCCCATTCATGCTCCTCTGTCTGCCCCTCGCCTCTCCTTCCTGCATCCTACTCTGGCTGATCCCCAAGAGAGGCCTGGGGTGCCTGAACACTCCTTGCCTGCGTGAGCTCCAAGGCCCAGTGTCACTGGGTCTGCGCCTGAGAAGCCTGTCGTGCTGGAGAAGGTTACAGAGCAGGGGAGACTGGGTACACTCTAAGTCTGCGATAAGCCTCCTCCTCAAGTGTGCCCCCCACTATCCCTGCCTGTGTGTGAAAAACGCCCTCTCCCACTTCTCCCATTGACTCTTAAGGTCACGGTGTGCTATTTCAGACATGCTAAAATGGATCACGAAGGATAGAGCAGAATCTCCTCTACCCACCACCCTCCTAGGAAACATTGCCGATGGATCCAGTGGAGGCCTCCTTGTCCCTCTCCCCCACAGACAGAATCCTAGAGCCTTTTCACACCTTCCCCACTCTCCTCATCCCTGGGGCTCTCCCACCTCCTCTTTGGTTGCATCCTATAGGTCGCCACTGGTGTCCATAATCTCTGCTAACTCTCCCCCTTCAGCCTCGCCAGGATCCAATACTGGTTTTGGCTCACCTGTTCGGTCTGCAGTGGGGACCTATGTCAGAGGATCCACTTGGCCTCCCCCACCATGATAGCTTCTTACCCCACAGACCAATGACCCAATGTGGGGGTTTTTGCCCCAAGTGCCACGTGTATCAGTTGTCAACCCGTGGACTGGAGAAGTGACCCCTGCCTTGGTCCATGACTGGATCCCTATCCTCAACTTCTTTTATTTACTAGGGTCTCCTAAGCCCCAGTCTAACCAGGCCCCGCAGTGACACTTAGGGGCTCCAGAATCAATGTCACCTCAGACCCTGTGTCCGATAGTCCTAGACACGTCTGGGTATTCCTCTTTCCCCAGGGCACCGTCACCTGAGAAAGGGCAGTCCTTTTCTGTAGAGAAGGACAGTGGCATCATAAACAGTATGTATACTCACCACCTGGTTTCCAGACCCTTCTTCCTCAGGACTCCCCCACCTCTTCAGCCAGTGGGGCCGGTCTCAAAATCGGCTCCGGACCGGGAACTGAGCAACAAATCGTGACTCTTCCCTGGGACGACCACCCTCTTTTCTCTTGCCTTTTTCTGGCTGTCATTACCCCGAGGGAGCCAGGCTGTCGGAAGCATCCTCTCAGCTCCGTGCCTGTCAAGCACTCTCTCTCTTTTTTTTTAATTTTTTTAAAAAGATTTTTTAAAAAATTTATTCATTTGGGCGCCTGGGTGGCTCAGTCGTTAAGCGTCTGCCTTCGGCTCAGGTCATGATCCCAGGGTCCTGGGATCGAGTCCCACATCGGGCTCCCTGCTCGGCAGGAAGCCTGCTTCTCGCTCTCCCACTCCCCCTGCTTGTGTTCCTGCTCTCGCGATCTCTCTCTCTGTCAAATAAATAAATAAAATCTTTAAAATAAAAAAAAAATATTCATTTGACAGAGATACAGAGAGAGATTGCATGAGCTGGGGAGCGGGGGAGAGGGGGAGGGAGAAGCAGCCTCCCCGCTGAGCCAGGAGCCTGATGTGGGGCTCGATCCCAGGACCCCGGGATCATGACCTGAGCTGAAGGCAGATGCTCCACCATCTGAGCCACCCAGGCACCCCATGTCAAGCACTCTTAACTGCCCCTCTGACCTTGCCGGTTGTTACTGCAGACCTGGTCTCCTGGAGTCTCTTGATCAAAAGCCACCCCTGCCCTCTGTTACGTCAGAATTCCATCGTTCCCATGGATGGGAATGGGCCCAGGCTGGGACCATTTTCCTTCCGTCATCTGCATCGGTCTGCAGAGGGGAGCAGCCGCTGAGCTTCTTAGTGATGCTGGGGCCCCCTCTCCCCAGAACACCCCCGATGGCTTTGGTGAATGGTGTGTCCTCTCGGCCCTCCCATGGAGCATAACCGTCTGGCCATGTGCCTGGCCTCACGGGTTCTGTCCGTTCCAGCATGCCTGCCTCACTCAACCCCTTTGTTCCTTCCTCTGCCACCTGCTGGTCCAAGGCAGGGACTCGCGCTTCCCTCCCTGTGGGCCATCACTTCCTTAAAGCTTTGAAGGGCCACTCTGGTGGTGAATTTACTCCGTCTCCTGGAGTCCCTGCCAGTATGGGAAATCCCGTGGGACGACACCGTGCCCCCACTCAGTAAAACCTGCTTATCCAGTCTTCCCTTTCCCGTCCTCTTGATCCGGCACCCTCAAAATCCAATCCCAGGGATATTTCCCCTGCTCCTGCCAGTACAGACCGGCTATGTCGTGCAACTGCCTCGGCGTATAATTTCTTCTCTCCCTTATCAGGCTTGGCATATCCCCAGCGAGGTTATGGAGAGAAGATCAGGGCTTCCACTGGGAGGGGCACCTGTGGCTTTGGCGGCGAGCATTCTCTGTAGCATCTATCGGCACAGGGCACATGCTGGGTCTTGCTAGGGAGCGAAGGGCCACCCTGGAAGCTCTGAGGCCTCAGGGGGTGGGGCCCTGGAAGAAAGGACTCAAAGGGCATATGAGAACACATCTATCTAACACAAAAGGTGGTAGTGCCGGAGAAACAGAGGCAAAAAGACACGAGGAATGTATAAAACTCATGGCAAAACATCATCTGTAAATTTACCCCTAGTTTGAATGCATTAACCGCGGGTACAGAGAGGGTCAACCTGGTGTGAGACCCTGGGGATTCAACTGTATGCTTTGGGCAGGGGATGTACTTCCGATAATGCCCGAAACCCACTGAGGGAGAAAGGACCGAGGATGATCTACTGAGAGCTCAGCAGCCAGCGTGTGCTGTCCTGGCCATGATCACAACAGACAAAGTAGACCTTTAAGGCAGAAAGTGTTCCCGGAGACGGAACTGGACATTTTTACCACGAAAGAAGGATCCACCAATATGGGAGACATCACTATTGTAAACTTAGATGCACATAAGTACAGAGCCTCAAAATACATACAACAGAACTTGACAAAATTGATGGCAGAACTAGAGCATTCAACGGTGATATCTGGAAGCTTTAATACTCCATCTCAGTA